AACCCAGGTGCGTTAACCAACTGCCACGCCCAGATTGGAAGACTCAGGAAAATTATCTTATTAAACTACAGTGAATGGAGCAGAGTAGCTAGGGCCAGGGGAGAGATCAAGTCGACTCAAAAAACCTATGAGAGTATTTAGGCCGTGGATGATGCCGGAGGGGTCGCTAGCCTTGAAAGTTGGTCGCCAGTGTGCGAAATCCACCAATCGAACAACCACGTCGGATCGATACTGATCATAAGCCAGTAGCAGGGAGGAGCGATAGAATCCCATCGGCAGCTGCGGTTCATCCGTAAATATCGACACCACACCTTCTACGTGAGACAGGAAGGCACGTGCCAATTGAGGGTCACCTTGCAGAAATGGCAGAAGTGCTACAACGCAGAGGATTATTTAGTCCCATGACCCATTCCACTTGCACAACTTTTACAACTAGCGTTCTGCTCTGTTGTCAGAGCATAATCACTACATTTGCCGATTGCATGACGAATGAGTGACTCACCTCCCCAATGACCGTAGCGTCACGTGACCAGGGCACAGTCCCCATCGCCCTGGCAAACACTTGTCAATTATCCTATGGAGTTTTTGATTTACGAATTACGGCTACTACAGATGAGCTTTAGTGGCAGAGAATAAGACTCTGACATTTCGCTGTGCCAAAAGAAAGCCAGGGATAACACTGGACATAATCCGATGTTTTGTACAAAAGTGGATATACCCTTCACTAAATCTAAAGTCATTCTGACTCATACAAAGGAGGGGACTGATAGAGTATATCCACTGTTGAGACCGTACCCTTGGTCAAGATCGTTCCCGTTCGTCGCCTTAGATTCTTGCAACCTAGCTGCAATAACTATGCTTAAATTGAGTTAACACATTCGGCATCAACGTCGCAGACATGTGACGCCCCAATTGCCTTACCTGAGCTCTTAGTATGCGCTTTTCATTATTTATGATAATTGGGTGTACTAAAACGTGCTTTTAGGAGATTGAATGAGTTTAAAGCAGTAGTGGAAAAAGAGGAAGGTTTACTGGCAAAGAAAAGCTTCATTTCTTAATTTGTGAGCGGTGGAGATTTGATTAGTTAAAAAAAAAAACTAATAACATTTGGTGTCGTATTAAAACAACAAAGAGCCTGAGCCGCGATGGATCATTTCTCCTAAAACTTTGATGGCAAACGTGCTATGTTGCCCATTGTAAATAGCGGCATATAGCTTTCATGCCTTCGCATTAAATGGATTGGAGCAAGCACCACTGCCATTTTGATGGAGCAGATGAAAGGTGTCAACGCCATTCATAGCCAAATGCCGCTGTCGCATCCATTTTTTGTGCCAATCAGTATGCCAAACACATAGGTACCACCCAGCGCCAATATCGATAAGCACTGGCATTAACAGCAAGCTGGGATAAAGGTAATGGGTGAAAAAACCTCGGTTCTTGCTCCGAACTTGGTTACCCGGAGACTCAGTTCTCACTTTTACTGCGAATATAAAATTAAACACAGACCTTCTTGGAAGAGCTTGAAGCATTTCCCGCCTCCTAAGGTACAACTGAGAGGCAGTAGCTCAGATAATCGTTTCGAGAGCGTGAACGTGTTTTGGATTAGATCATTAGGTGGGAAGAACTGCTGCAAGAAAATACTGTGTGGTCAAACCAACTCTTCGAAGATTGGTTCAATTATAAACTTAAAACTGTAAACAAGGTAGCTTTTTTATTAAGGAGCACACAGAAATCCTCCTACAAGATCTACTATTTTAGCATAAGCGTGTGACTGTAGAAATCAAGGCTTGTTTTAAAGATGGCACTTGAAGCATTCTCTAATTCCATCCACCAAAAGTGTTTTGACACTACTTTACATTCTTTACATCGAATGTCGCAATTGAAATCCTATGTCAAGATCAATTTCACGTAACCGCTTTGGACAAAACATTTCTTTGTGTGACGAGATAATTTTGGAATTATTTCACTTCAAAGCCTCAATCCAGGCCCCAGAAAATAGATCCCACCATCGAGTAAAAGTATTGTATTATCTGTCGTGATAATCGGTCTTACCGTTGACATACACTGCTTCAAAGTCCAAACTTCGACCATAGTGACGAGGAACTGTCAGGTAGCAGTTCGAATTCTGGTCATAGACCTTGAGGAAGAGAAAGACTGGGTAATGTTCAATACTTACATAAGGCAATATTCAACACAATAGCTAAGGCGATCGCGGTAGTTCGATAGCAAGTATGTAGCTTCAAAAGGATTATTAAGGCATACTTTACGTGCCAAATCAACAAAAGAGATAATATTTAATTAAAACTCAATCATATAGCGTATAAAAATACATCCGACAGCATGAACAAATTAAGGTAGAAAGTGGCTGAATCTAACCTTGCTACTTATCTATGCAAATAAACATACAATTTGGCATTGTTTGAAGGGAGAGCAACGAAGATACTAATGAATGGTGTCTACCTTCATGCCAGTAAAGAGGAACCCCACAGTGTCACGATGAGGATATTTAGCGTTTTCAGCCTTAATCTTAGCCTCACTGGCATCGGGTGGACAGGCGACGCGACCCATCTTCAAGTCGCAGACACTGGGATTTGACAAACCAGACAACACGTCTTCCAGTCCGATATAGAGAACTGCATTAAGGAAGGAGAGAATCAACAGCCAGTGAATCATCTACTTATAGTCACAACAGTGGTGTGAAGTCGGAGAACACAGACCAGCGTTTGAATCCCGATAGAGGCCATGAAACGAGGGGACAATGGGTCTCAATTTTGCAATCTCGGGTGAAGCGTTCTCCCCAAAGACCTTGAAATAGAAATTCGCCTCCAGAATGCCTCTCTCATCCGGTGGCAGCCTCTTGTAGACAATGGGTTCTTGAGGATGCCGAAGCACTGTGGAAAAGCAGCAAAAAGTAGTATGCATATATTCAGCCGCGAATCTAAAGGACGTCCAAGTTGAACTGCAAATTTTGTCAAGTGGTGTAAATATGTCCTTTTCCATGCAATCTCCAGCTACAGTGACCCACTTATCTTAACGCTTAACTAACATATACAAGACCCCAAGGCATCCTTTTGCGTCTGTACCAACCTTTAGAGATTGGAAATGGTCATGATTGACCGGATTTGTTATTGCTATAAAATAAAACATTTCTTGTGAAGTTCCGCAATCAACCATCCAGGATGGGACGAATGTTCTACGTGCCGCCCGAATGTCCATGGAGAGGAATGACTATAGTGTCAAGTAGATGGAAGGTTTACACCTTTAAGGCGTCCCATTGGTGAGAGGTAGAGCATCTCATCACCGCGATTCACTGTGAAGGTTGGATACTTTCGCCGACAGAGACTTTCTTGGTCACCGCACAATGTTATGTGCATAGACACGCGGTGCGGTGCCACCTTGATTAATGCTGCTTGGAGTGGAGTAGTCCGCGACACAGAGTAATGAAAGTGGTGATTAGAAACACTTGAAACCTAATACTCCGTGTCGTAACATCGCAAACAACAGGCCTTTTGACTGTAGAGGTACAAGTCCTGGTTTAGATTGAAAGTCCGTCGAATGAATCGATTATGTCTTGAAAACCTACTCTTGTAATCCACTGATTTAGCTAGCGTTCCATGCCCTCCGACTTGATATTGGTAGGCGAGAAGATGGTCGGGAAGGTCAGAAATACTTCCAGAGTTGAAGAGTGGTTCCACCGTCATTTTTACCTATGAATGTGAGAAAAAAGAGTAATTTCAATGTAACATCATCTAGCTTGATGTTTCAAGCGAATGAGGCAATTAATATCACTATAAAACGACTACCAGATCTTGTGAATATGAATCGCTGTGATGATGCGGATAACGCCTACCAAATGTTGTGGTGTGCGCTTAACACCTCTACAGTCAAAAAGCAACGCTACTGTGATATTCCCACACAGAACATTAAATTCACTACTCCCACAACCATTCGTAATAACCGATGCAGATGTTGTACCGTGGGCCAGCCCACTCAGGCGACGTGGGCACACAGCTCAACCCTATCTTTGTGTATTTACAAAAGACTCCTAGCGCAGTGAGCTACGGTGATGAGACACTCGGCAGCTCAGCAAAAGGACACCTAGAGGGTGCAAATCTTTCAAAGTTGGTCGTACATGCACCGGTGACGAGACTAATCATGCTGGTTCTCAGGCCACATCCAAATAAATCGCATACATTGCAATTCATAAGTATGCAGACTTGTCAAAATTTGACGAAGATGATCGATGGTAAAAGATAGTCCAAAATCACATCAAATCAGACAAAATGTGGTTACCAATAGTCAGTATGATTTGTAGGATTAATCAAAACTTCAGATAACTACAACCAAGCAATCAAGCAAGTCATCCCCAGGGAGGCACAAAAAGAAAGACGTTTTCTTCATCAACACTTCCATTATATATTTACAGTAGCTCAGAAGGAGCGTCACACACACACAAGGGCTGACTACTCGCTAGGTGAAGCTGGCGGTGATTGAGATTGAGAGTAAAACCTTTCGGTAAATGCAGCGGGAGTGGTAATGGTAAGAAAGGTTTGAGAAATCTTGACCGTAGGATTCACAATGCCTCGAGGGTTATTCACACCATTTGGAGCCTTTTTTCCCGAGCAGATGATGATTAGAAGAGACTGTGGACGCAGCTGCATGTAAATGCTAGTGGCGAATTTTGTGAAGGCCTCCGTCTCTTTCTGTAAGGTGAAAAAGAGTTTTTATCAATGCCAAGGTTTGACTAGGATTTGCATTTCAAACATTTCCTAACCTTCCATAGTGTCCTTCAGTCTTCCACAATTTAACCTCCATGACAATGGCATATGGCTCAGGGCCCGTTACCCATGGTTTTGGCTTATAATAGAGCTGTTATATTACCCGGGTTACTCGTGAAAATGCTATCAAGCGTACGGGTCCCGAAGTAGGCCCATTGCAAGTACAGAGAAGGATTAGGCAACTAGTAGCATCGGTAGAAGCATGAACCGAGTCATGTTATCAGGCGAGAAAGGCTTGTGTAGTAAAAAGTACGATTAGGATATCTCTACGCTACGCATTAACGCAAGTGAGTCCTGCTGACAACTTATCTATCGGTTGCTAACACTAAAGTCGATGCGGATCTACACAAGTATTCAAAGAGAAGATGGCAACTTTTCGGTTAATTTATTTACACTCTATTCATGTTACCTAGTCCTCTGATTCCTTAGCATTGCCTTCAAATACCGTGATGAGTGGTTGGTCCCTTTTTAGCGCCTGAGTTACTCCTTAAGGCCTGGAAAAGGCTTCTCAAAAATGGCACAATAGGGCTGGGGAACTGACAATGGTGGGAGCGGCGTAAATGGAGCCTCGCAACATCAGTGTAGAGGCCGAGCCACGAGAGTTTTGTAACAACCCAAAGTAAGCATCCCAACCCTCCAAACATAAAGGTATCCCTCAGGATGTTAGACACTATTCTACTGATTTCCTTGATGTAGTAGTTTTATGCGCAGTGTAAATGAATCTTCAACTTCAGTTTCCAAGCGACCTTACAGAACAAAGATGGAGAATCAATTCTCCACAATGTGACATTTACATTAGTTGCATCCCAGCTTCGTTACTTTGAGCGCGGCCCCCAATGTTTATGAGACTTGTGTCATTGCTAAGAAAAGAAAAGGTCGAGTTTATGCGCCATTTCGCATTCCTATTTTCAGTCTCATCCGCACCCATACTCATCCTCTGTACTTTCCTGTTTCCCATTCCTCAAGGCGACTATTATCACCTTCAGCTAAAAGCATTAACCAATCACAATGTCACAGAGGCGAAATAAAATCACTAGAGTTGAATTTCCAGTTAGTTTCTAAAAACAATCCGTGATACACAAGTGGAACTTGAAGAAATCTTTTGACTCTCAGAAGGGGTATCACAGATTCCAATGGGTTCGTTTCAACTAATCAAACCCATTCAAAAAGCTTTTGGCAGTCATTTAACTTCTATTTTAAGGAACTGCACGGTCTCATCTGATTGAGCTGTCCTATACCTCCAAGTTCACACATTAAAGCGGTTATAGAGATGGGAAAACCCGCTTTCTGCTGTTACGATCAAATGTCATGCGGTGAAGACATCCGAATCCTGTCGAATTTCGCCAACCACATAAAGCTCACGAAGTTCTGATTAACCGACAGGTAATGCAGTGAGGCTAAACTCGGACGAAACCAATACCAAAAAAGGTAATTATATTATTGCTTCACAAGTTTACAAGCGGTAACTTAGATCAATAAAATAAAAGTGATGGGGATGTGGAAGGTACTCATAGTAGAACTTGTCCAATCAATCCTCGAAATCTACTGCCGTTCCTAGCAGGATAGGAAGACTTGTCATAGCCGAAGACGAATGGTGGTCGTGGAGAGCACTGAAGTCAACGGTTCAAACAAGCACAGCACTATGCAATGATTTGGAGTTCTATTTTAATAAACTCCTCAGGACTTCTGTACGCTGATGATTAGGCAAATTCAAGATCCATGTTCTTTAATAATGCTTTCACTAATAAAGCGCTAAAAATGATCTGATTTTGTATAGCTTGGATGCTACTGGGGGGAAATTACACGGGGAAACCACACGCAGAACAACATATACTTCAAGGGAAAGAAAGGAAGGGGTGTTGAATAAGCAAGAGAGGCCCACAAACTTACTGTCTTGTCCCATTTCTCCGGCCGGCCGACTCGCGTCATGAGGAATTTCACCCTCTGCGCATTCTCTGCAATCCACTTGGCTGCCTTCTTCCCGGGACGCTTGAGGAAGGGCCGCATCGTGCACATCTCATCTTTCTTCCCCTCCTTCTCTTCCGCATCTACTCCCACTACCGCCGGTTTCTCCATTTGCACACAACTGGTGACCTTTAGGTCAGCTAATAGATGATCAGTCAGGTGAAAGGGTGGCGTAGGATCGGTGTAGATACGACAGAGAAACGCGAGGTAGGGACGCAGTGTCTCCGGCACTGTGAATGCGCCCCTAGCCAGAAGTGTGGTCAGGTTAGCAATTGTAGGTTTGGATGGAGGCTGAAGAAAAGCGGCAGTAAGTCTATGTGGAA